CCTTCCTTCCTTCCTTCCTTCCTTCCTTCCTTCCTTCCTTCCTTCCCTGGAGAAACCCAGCTACTTTTCCCGGCACTTTCTCCTGCTTGGCCGCCTTCGGCCACCCGCCTCCCTCCTGTTCCGAACCTGGGACCTCCTTCTGCCGTGGTCTCCTCTAAGTCGTGGACGAGGGACCCCCTTCTCCAGAGGAGCCCCTGGTACACGGAGCCGCCCCGGGCCTTGTTGACTTAACTGCCGGAAGGACTTTTCTGCTGTCCCTCTTCTGAATCGGCTCCTCTTCTTCTCTTCGCCTGTCTTCCCACTTCTTCTTTCCGTGGCTCTCAGGTAGGAATGGGCTCTTTGCTTTCCGTGGCGATGTGGTAGGGCCAGCGCCGAGCTCTCGGCGGCCTTTAGCTTCGGAAGGACGCCCCAGCCCGGGCGGGGAGGAATGCCCGGGGGGGAGAGATCGGTTCGGGGAGACTTCCCGTCTTTCAGGAAGGCCTTGGACGCCCACCCCTCCCCGTGGGGTTTTATTCTTTCCGTGGCAGGTTAAATCCTGCCTTTTTTCCCCGGGGAAGGCAGCCAATAATGGTTGTCTTCCTTTGTGGATGTAATCAAGTCCTACCAACGGTGACAACTTTCCTGCAAGGTAGGCCAGGCTGAATGAGCACAACTGGTGAGTTTGAGGGCGAGTGGGGTTTCGAACCCAGGCCTCCTGAGCCACCGCGGTATCCACAGGGGATCGGTGCCAAGCCCTCCCCACGGATGCAAAAAAGAATTAATAATAATAATAATGCAGAAGTATGGAATGCTATACATGGTCTCCGGCCAGTTGTGGACCATACACCCTGGAAATACATATACATTTGTATTTCTGAGATTTTTTTTAATGGAGTGGTTTCAAGCTGTGGAGAAGTGGGCCAGCGGATCCCGGATCCCGCGGATAGGGGAGTCCTACATTCTTTCTCCCCACTTTTTCTTTTCTTTTGTGATGGGCCCCTCTCATGGCTTCAAATGGACTTCAGTCCTGAAGCTGAAGGTAGAATCCTTACTCTCACAGGTAGTTAGGGAGTGCAACGCTTTGGGGCGGGGCTGCTCATGTGCCTGTTTTCTTGAGTTGCATGCTTGCAATGGACAGACTTTTTAAAATTGCCTTTTTTTGGGGGGGGTGCAGGCCGAAGCAGAGGTGGCTGCCCTGAACCGCCGAATCCAGCTGGTGGAAGAGGAATTGGATCGGGCCCAAGAACGCCTGGCCACGGCTCTGCAGAAACTGGAGGAGGCCGAGAAGGCGGCGGACGAAAGCGAGAGGTACTGGAAGCGTTTCTCCTGGTTCGCATCTGTAATGGCTTGGGCTGGTTCGCCATGCATCCAAGTGGATGTTACCCCAGTTGCCCCAGTAAGCTCCAGATAAAGGCAGATGAGTGTTTGTGTGTGAGAGTCTGTGTGCGGCTGGGACAGTATAACTCGTTTGCTTAATTTGTTAATTGGAGACGCACCCTCCTTTTCTCCCCAAAATCCGGTCTGTGAAACAGCTCACGGCCAGGTTAAAATCAGGGTCGGACAGTTATCACACAAGGGAATCAATTAGAAGACAGTAGGGCTCCCTTATCCGCGGGATCCGTATCCACGGATTCACTTCTCCACTGTCTGAAACTATTAAAAGAAAAATCCTAGAAAGGTCTATTTCTAATGCTGAAGGTACCAGAAGTGGTCCCTAGAAGGAGACAGACGGAGAGTGGATAGCCTTCGCTATTAAAATAGTGTTTGCTATTATCTGTGTTTTCCAGTATCCGCAGGTTGTGGGGTGGGCTTTAGGGCTTGCCTGGAGAAAAAAAAATCTTTTGGAAGGGTCTGTTGGGTTGGGAAAGACTTTTATTTTATTTTATTTTATTTTTGGTGCTTCTCGGCAGAGGGATGAAGGTCATTGAAAACAGAGCCATGAAGGATGAGGAGAAGATGGAGATTCAGGAGATGCAGCTTAAGGAAGCAAAGCACATCGCCGAGGAGGCCGATCGTAAATATGAGGAGGTAAGAAAGACCATCAAACTGGGACCAGAATGTCTGCGGTTGGAGAAGAATGTCAAGGAGATGACTGAGTCGGTGGCCCTGATACAAAGACACCCTTTCTATTTTTGTTTTATTTTGTGCTTTGCTTCTCTTTTTCCAAACCTTATTTCCCTGCTAAAGAAGCAGCAAGGGGCGGTTGGGCTTTATTTATTTATTTACTTTTAATTTTCGCAAGTGTGTATCCGGAGCTTCTATTATCACTCTTGATCTTTTCTTTAAACTTGCAACAACCTTTTTTTTACTGCTTCCTCTCTCCCTGCGTAGGAGAGAGAACTACTGTTCCAATGTTTCGTTGGCTACGTATGTTGCAAAAGAGTTATTCCTTAAATTGTGCCACATCTTGATAGGGTTTGACTGGAGATTCGGGTTTGATTTGAATTTTCCCCTTTTTATTTATTTATTTATTTTAGCCCTCTGTTTGTCCACAGAGAAATCATTCCCAACCTTGGGGTTCCCCGATGTTCTTGGGTGATGAGTCTCAGAAACTTCCACCAGCAGCTGTGCTGGGCAAGATTTATGGGAGTTGTAGTCCAAGAACATCTGGAGACCCGGAGCCTTGGTTCCCCAGATATTCTTCGCCACTTGCTCTGCCGGCCAGGATTTCTGGGAGACGCAGTCCAAGAACATCTGGGGGGCCCCTTCCTGCACCCAGACGTTCCTCGTGGATCTGGGTGTTTGGGCCAGAAGGTCAGACACGAATGTGTTTACTCCCTCCTGCAGGTTGCCCGTAAACTGGTCATTCTGGAAGGAGAACTGGAACGAGCTGAAGAACGGGCCGAAGTCTCTGAATTGTGAGTTGGGTTCACCTGGAGGACATGGCTGGGGGGTTACGGGAGAGAAAACAGCTGGATTCATCTCTGAATGGCCCACAACCGAGAAGATTGCTCACTGAATCCCCTATCCTTGCTTATTTAAGCGGCCTCAGCAGAATGAAGGCCCCGGAGCGAGGCATTTTGAAGCCCTCGCTTCCGTAGAGAGCGACGCGGCGAGCTCTCATTCCCTGTAGGATTCGCACAGAGCATCGCCGCCATTCCATTCTCTGTCCGAGCGTAGGAAAGACAGCAAGCGGGCAGCCCCTCTGGTGTGCCAGAGCCTTAAGCGAAGCCAGGAGGACGAAAATAAAGATTTGTCTCCTCCCTTGAGCCAGGCGGGGTTTCCGTGAGGTTCAGGTCTCCTGCTTGGGCCGAGTCTGTTGCCAAAGCTTGAACGCACCTTGTATTTTTATCCGTGGCATTCCCTTGGCACGGGATGAACGATTCACTTAGGTTTTGGACGGTTCTATGGGTTGTTTCTACTGCAGGCCCCCCTTATGCACTGTATGCACCGACTCGTTTACCCACAGTCTGAAAATATTTTAAAAAAGAAAGTTCCTAGATGTGTACATTTCTAAAGATGACGTTTCCGGAACTGGCCCCTAAGAGGGAACAGCCAGAGACCATGATACAGATAGCGTCGGCTATCCGCTGTATTCCTTATCTGCTCCCTGGGGTGTGCTTGAGTTGGACCCAAAGCCTCGAAAGCAGGCGTCTCCTTGAACGTAAGGCGCGAAGCCCCTTGGCAAAGGGGGAAGACCTCATTTCCTCCTTTTTCCCCGCGGCTAGGAAATGCAGCGACTTGGAAGAGGAGCTGAAAAACGTCACCAACAACCTGAAGTCCCTTGAAGCTCAGTCCGAGAAGGTAAGTGACTCTCCGGAAGGCCTTGGGATCTGAGATGCTCGTTCCGAGGTTTTGCAGGAGGCGGCAATGGGCTTCCTCCTCTTGAGCACTTTCCCTTCCCGATGGGTTTCCGAGTTGGTCTTATTTTATCAGTGTACATAGTCAGAGAGACAGTCCGGAAGTCCCACCAATAAATAAATAAAACTCACAACCTGGCTCTTCAGCCGGCGGCTTGTTTTTCTCCGTGACCCTTTTTTGAGCCCACGGAGAGCGTTTCCCCCTTCCCAGCGCTAGCCGTGGCACCTCCTGCTTGGCGTGATCCGCCGCCCCCTTGTTTTCCGCAGTACTCAGAGAAAGAAGACAAGTACGAGGAGGAAATCAAGCTTCTGACGGACAAGCTGAAAGAGGTGAGGGTGTGGGGCCCGGCGGGGGAGGGGGCGGCGGCATGTCCTGGCAGACCTGGTGATGGTGGTGGTGGTGGTGGTGGGGAAAAACGAAGGTGGTGGCTCGGTATTTTTCCCCTTCCCGTTTTTTTAGGCCGAGACGCGAGCCGAGTTTGCCGAGAGGACGGTGGCCAAACTGGAAAAGACGATCGATGACCTGGAAGGTAAGGACCAGACACTTCTGGAAGCTCTGGTGGGGTCTGTTTTTGAGTGCTGTGCCTGCGGGCGGATGGGCAGGCCAACATCGCGGCCACGGGTGCTCCACGAGGGTTTAAGGATGTTGGCCTGTCTTTTGAATCCGAGTCCCTCTTGAATACAAGCTCTCCCCCCCCCCAAGAGAAAAGGGACGGATAGGGTGGGTGGTTTCCGAGTCTCATGCCCTTTGGCTCCATGCTCCTGCTTCCTGCCGTACCTTCGTTCAAGGCTGGGCACCTGATCTATTTTTCTCCCCCCCTCCCCCCCCGCAGCTGTTCATTCTCTCCTGTTCCTTTCTCCAGCCTTCTCTACTCAGCACCAGGCTCCCTTGGGCGGGATCCTGACCTCCCACCACTGCAGAGAGGAAGAGGGGAAAGAGTGGGGTGGGGGGTGGGGGGTGCCCTCCGTGCACCCAGGGCCGGCAGGAGAATTTCCCCCCTCTCTCTATGTTTAATTTAAATTCAGCAGGACCCCATCATCCGGGGACTCAGTATCTGCTGATCCACAGTCTGGAAATATTAAAAAAAATCCCCCAAATTTATATTTCTAAAGATGAAGTTGCTGGAGAAATATATTTCTAGGATGTCATTATCAGAGCTAGCCATTAGAGGGAGCTAAAGTCCACCCTATGTATAAACTGGTATAGTTTATACATAGGGTACAGTATAAACAGTACAGTACAGTATAAACTGGAGAAATTCATTTCTATGGTGTCATTCCCAGAACTGGCCACTAGAGAGAGCCAGAGACCATGCTATGTATACTGTTCCCTCTAGTCTGCGGTTTTTGGCATCCGCGGTGGGCTGATAACCGATCCCCCGCGGATAAAGGCGTCCTGTATTTCAGGGAGCCTCTTTCCTGCCCTCGGATGGAGGTTCAACAGGATGTGATTGAGAACCACATAAATGGCCCAGTTTTAGGCAAGCGAAGTAATGCCTCCTGCTACTAGTAATTAATTTTCGGGATTAAGGGGACAGCGGAAGTAAGCAGCTTTGCATGTTTGGAAGTCCTGAAAAATGGTTGAATGTTGCTTTCTGAAAAGGTCTCCTTTGGTGGTACGCGGGTTGGCTTTTTTGCATGCTTAATTGTGCCTTCTCTCTCTCTTTCTCTTTTTTTTTCTCTCTCTCTTTCCTCTTTTCCTTCCGCCTCTGCTCTGTGGCATCAACCGGCCTGCCGGCTCCACCTTGTTCCTTTCGCTGGGGCCACCCTTGCGCCTTGCCCCCCTCTCCCACGGTCCGTTCCCGCAGATGAACTGTACGCTCAAAAGCTGAAGTATAAAGCCATCAGCGAGGAGTTGGATCACGCTCTTAATGACATGACTTCTTTGTAAATGCAGAAGTTGGGTTTCCGTTGGCTTCCGAGTAAGGATCCATTTTCTGCGCTTTCGTTCCCATGTACAAGTTGGCTGGTCTTTCCCTCCCTTCCCCCCCCCATGAAAACCGATTTCAATTAAAAAAAAGCTGTTGCTCTGGTTCTTCTCTCCATTTTCTGTCCATCATGATGTCTGTCCTCTTAACTTGCTCATCTGAATGCTTCATGGGAGCGGTGGTTTTTTCCCATTCCTAGTGGGTTTTCCCCAAGGATCCGGCCCACCTTGCCAGCCCATAAAGCCCCTTTCCATTCATGCGGATTCCCCCTTTTCAAATCCTTGGTCCTCCGGTTGGGTTAGAGGAAACGTACGAAATGGGCAGACGAAATAGACCGCAATCTTTGGCGGAATTCTTCTTCTTGAAAAAGCAAAAACTCTTTACATTTGTTCTCGCCAGAAAAACTCGCTCAGGCCAAAGGAGACAATCTCACGCTGCACCGAACCCTGGACCAAACCCTCAGCGAACTGGGCAGCATCTAATCTCCGGGAAAACCACGAAACTTGCAAGGGCCAAGAAGATGATGGCTGTGGTCCTTCTAACGGCAGCTTCCTCTTTCAACTCCCCCCCCTTCCTCTTTTAAATCATGCAGTGACAAGCAGACAAGGGACCAAGTCATTGCCTTCTCCGGATTTAATCGTTAAGGCCTTGAGCATCAATGATTTGTGGATTTTTCCCCCCTGTTGTCGTTCTTAACCTTGCAGTACTCGATAGCCTGGCATGAAACTGGATGAGTCAAAGGTTGCTAAGCCCTCTTAGTACAAGCAGGACCTCCGCAGCTGTGAGATTGGTACCCCAACACTCCGTCCATAGGATCAGCATCCACTGATTCTCTTATCCACGGTCTGAATATATTAAAAATATTAAAAAGAAAATTTCCCAGATATATTTCTAACCATGAAGTTACCAGAACAGGCCACAAGAGGGCACTAGTGGATTTTTTTACCAACAAGTCCCTGGCTCCCTCTTGTGGCCATTTCTGGTAATACATGTGAAAATATCTTTTCCCTTTGAATATTTTTATTATATTCAGAGAAGTGAAACCACAGGTAGTGATCCCACAGATACGGGGGTCCTACTGTACAGTGTCCACTAGAGAAATATATTTCCATGATGTCATTTGCAGAATTGGCCCAGAGAAGGTAGCATTCACTATAATCCATGGGTTTCAGTATTGGCTTGGATCCAGTCTGTGCAGACGGGGGTCCTACTATATAGAAAACTGTACCCGGAATATCTCCCCACCAAGTTTCAGGGCTAGGTAAAAATGATCCTGCTTTACATCTTAAAACCACAAGTAACGTTTTCTTGCCAAAAGTGTAAGGCTTATAATGCCTCCACGATCCAGCACCCACATCGGGATCTGATTTCCTAGTTTACAGAAAGGTGCCAAATGACAATCTCCTTAAAGATACAGGAAATGGGAGAAGAGCTTCCTCACGGGTAAATTCTTTAAATTCTGTTGCGCTCTGATGGGGGTGAAAAAAACCCAACTTCTTGGTGTTTTTTTTTTTTAAAAAATAAAAACAAAAACACTCCTGTATTTATTACATTTTTGTAAGGTGGAGACAAAAGATCAAAATGGATTTGTATTAAAATGTTGGATCGTTGTGACAGAATCTTGCAACACCAGTTTTGGTCTCATTGCTTTCTTCTGCGTACACGAAAGTGTGCAAGACCTCTCATAAGGTTCCCCTTGACAATTTTTGTCCAGTCGTGTCCGACTCTAGGGGGCGGCGCTCATCCCGCTCTTCAAGCCATAGAGCCAGCATTTTTGTCCAAAGACAATCTTTCCATGGTCACATGGCCAGTGTGATTTAGACACGGAACGCTGTTTACCTTCCCACCGAGATGGTACCTGTTTATCTACTCGCATTTGCATGCTTTCGAACTGCTAGGTAGGCGGGAGCTGGGACAAGCGACGGGCGCTCACTCCGTCGCGTGGATTCGATCTTACAACTGCTTGGTCTTCTGACCCTGCAGCACAGGCTTCTGTGGTTTAGCCCACAGCGCCACCACATCCCTGTTAAGACCTCTCATAAAATCCTTGAATGCTGAAGTTGGGGGTCCCTCTGAGGCTATCCAGTCCCACCCCCCTGTTCAAGGCAGGAACCTCAAATCCCTCCCGTTAGATGAATGGGGGGTCCCATTTGTTGTACTGCTCTAACAGTTAAGTTTTTCCTGATCTTCGGCCAAAATTTGGCTTCCTGTCCCTTGAGCCCACGGTGACGTGTCCTGCACTCGGGGACGACGGAGGACAGATCCTCCAAGCAGGAAAGCCTCTTTGAGCAAAGGCAAGCATTGAACCGACATGGAAAGAAGGGAGCAGTTTCAGCATCCCCTTGCACTCTTTGTTCCTGGAATGACGCTCATCCTTCAAATATCTAGGGCCAGCAATACGGGAGTTTAAGGTTTCTGAAAGCTGCGCTCCCCTTTAGCCCAAGCTGGTTCAGCCTTTCTCGCTGAAGGGGCTTGTATGGTGGGGGTCTTTGGACGCTGCATATCCGATCCCCCCCGCCACTTTCCGCACGCTGTCCACCGAATTGAGACTTTTTCGACTAACAACAGAAACAGGCCCCACCCTCTGCAGGAAAACTGCCCCAGACACCCCACCGAAACTGTAGAATGGCACCTCGAACGAATCTGCATGTCATCGGACCCCGTATCAGACTACATGCCGTCAGTAGCCACTGATCCACTTATCAGCAGTAAGATAATATTAAAAGAAAAAAACCTAGAAATATATATTTCTAAATGTGAATTTACCACAACTGGCCACGAGAGGGAGCCAGAGACCATGCCATGTATGGCATTTGCTATTAAAAGTATTCCCTATTATCTGTGGTTTTCAGCATCGGCAGGGGGGTTGGCAAACGATCCCCCATGGATAAGAGAGTCCCACTGTTCTCAAGTCATGGGCAAAAGGGCTACCCAGTCATCCATTATTTTTATCAGGACGTCTTACCATACCATAGGAACCTGCTATTAAAAATCTTCCACCTTCCCCCCCCACCGCCCCTAATATTCTCTTTACATAATGCAACAATCAAGCAGTCGTGGAAATTTACTGAGCCAAAGGGGGTTAAAAAAAAGCATGTCTGTGTGATTCTTCCCCTGAAATTCCCAACAGAATCTTGCACAAACTGGACAAGGCATTGGTCCTTTTTTTTTTTGGTTGGTTGGTTTATCATTGGCCAAAATGCCACACCCCGATAAGACAACGCAATAGATAGAGATGTGGAACAACGCCATTTCAAGGCAGGCCGATGAGAACAGCAGGGTACTGGAAGGCCCCCCCCCCCAGTCTTTCCCCAGAAAACATCCTGGCCGAAGCTTTGTCAAGAGCAAGCGAGGACGGTGCGGATGCTCATTTCGTCCAGCTGACTTTCGGGATGTCATAATGCTCCGTTAAGGTATCCAAGTGCCGGTTAAAATCCTACGGAAGAAAAAAGGGGAATGAAGGAGAACAGCAGCCACTTGATTGTTCATCTTAAGAGCCACTTTATAAGGGGGAAACTGTTGAGAGGGCCTTAGGAGGAGTGATAGGCAGCCCGTCCCGTCACTCAAAACCCGTGTTTGAACTTTTTAAGTACAGTATTTTTTTCCATCCCTTTTCAGGCCCTTCTCTTTGCTACTAAGGAGAGCCTTAGGTTTCCTGCAAAACCACGCTTATCGCAAGCCGAACGTGAGCCGACAGAGAAGCTGCGGCTGCCAAAAAAGGCCGATGGGATTTAAGGATTAAGTAGCAGGAGTGGAGCCCGTTCAGGGGAGGGCCACCGGGAGACCTGGGGGTGAAGACGGAGGCAGAGAGAGGAGAGCGCTCTTCAAAGATTTGAAAGGCGGTCGTACAGAGGAGAGGGGCAGGATCCGTCCTTCCTCCTGCCAGAGAGTGCAGGACATGGTCACGCCAACGTACCTCAACCCTCTGCTTGTGGGTTTTGGAAGCTTTCTTCAGGATGCGCTCAATTTGCTGCAAGGCAGAAAGAGAGAACGTTAACGCCCTCGGGGCTCAACCCCACGCCCAGGCGAGGCGTGATGAGCGAGGCGGGGTGGGTGGCTGGGGGAAAACCCTGGGCTTGTGGTTCTCGTGCTTGTTATGGGGTTTGGGGCTGGCCAGAACACTAATGGGGTTCTGCTCGTGGTGTCCGAAGGAAGACAAAAAGCCACAAGTGCCTTAGAAGATTCAGCAGAAGGAAACCTCCCCAAGCTGGACCCCTCTTATCCGCAGGATCCATATCCACCGATTCACTTATCCACACCCTAAAACTATGAAAAGAAACATCCCAGAAACAGATTATTTCCGAAGATGAGTTTACCAGAACGGACCCATTACAGGGAGCCAGGCTCTTAAAACAGCATTCACGACGCTCTGCGTTTTTCAGCATCCGCAGAGCGAGGAGGCTCAGAGCCAATTCCCCCCACACACACGGACACAGAGGTCTGACTGTGCAGAATATTACAGGCAATTTCTTTCCAAGCTGGCGAGAACCTGGTGGGTCCGAATGTCCCGTCTGTTACACTCCTCTACCTTCCAGAGTGGGGAGACCTGCGTTTGAGGGCCGGGAGGTCCCCGGAAGGGGTCGGGAGGGTTAGGGCGATGGGGGTCGAGGGATCACAATGCAGGCAGGGGAGTCGGGGTCTTTTGCAAATGTCGGCACCTCCGCCCGACGGCTTACCCGCTTCTCCTGCATCTTCTCATAGGCCAGCTGCGCTGGGGTCCGCTTATCCAAAGCCCGTGTCTTCTCCTCGTCCTCTTCCTCCTGCTTTTTGCTGCTCACAATCTGGTCCACGATCTTGTTTTTCTCCTTCCCTTTCTTCTTCTTCCTGCAGAAGAGCAGACGTGAACCTTTTTGGCCAGGCAACGGTGCGCGCGGGGGGGGGACCCCACCGCAAGTCTTATAGATTAAAATACTTTTCTACCGTCCTTGGTCTTACTTATCTGAAAATCTTTAATATATATATAAATATTTTTTAAAAAACCCAAGAAATATTTATTCGGTTGGTTGGTTGGA